TGCTGGTGCAGCGAAGTGCTGCTCTGCAGGCATTACAGATGGGTTTATTGCGTGCCATACTGGCTGCTCTGCTGATATGGCTGTTGTGGCCGTCAGAGCTGTGCTCTGTTAAATTCTGGAAGCAGAAGAGCGTTGTATTCTCCGACGCGATTTCCGTGTGTTACTCTTCATCACACCAATACACAGCAATACTGTCATTCCTAAAGGGGTAAATGTCTTCACTGTCCTAAGGTACATGAATATCAAAAAAATCTAAGAAAATGCTCTCTTAGCAGGAATTAAACTAATATGCTCTACATACTGTATTAAAGAGAGAGCACTCTTGCACTGAGCAATTTATACAGATGGCAGATTTCAGCAAATTCAGAACAGCAGCAGGGGTAGCTAAAGCCCCTGTTCACACTACCAGGATGTGTGTAGGGACATGTAAAATCATGTAGTCTCAAAAATAACTGAAAAACAGCATAATTCAAATCAAATAGGTTGCACTTGCACTCCCTATTTACACCTTGGAGAACAAAGGTGTTTGCACCACATGCGCACTCAGCTGGCTGGATTCAAGGAGCTGTGCTGGAGTAACTCAGTGAGCCCATGTGCTGCATCTTCATCCTGGAACTTGTCCTATTGTCATCGAGTGAACAGCTGTGGAATGACTGCTGGTCCATGCTGTGAGACAGCAGCCCTTAATGTAAAGCTATTTGCAGGTATTTTAGAGTTCTGAGATAGACGGAAAACTGGGATAGAACTGCATTTCAAGCATGACTCCTAATCATACAAACAAAATATATTAACTAGAATTTCAGATTGGAGGTCCATCATAAGCTATGATAGAGCACAGAAAAATTACAGTCATCTGTCTTTATTTTCGCTTTTCAGCTCAGATAAATATATGAATCAAATATTAAGATTTTTGATCAATTTGAGCTCTATATGCAATGGAACACATTCACTGGAAATACTATAGAACAATGTACACTTCATCAGAATAATAAATATTAACCTATTTATGTGACAGCAAGCCAGAAGAAGAAATATTAATTTTCAAGTGATCATTTACACATCAAAATATGATGGATGGATGCACACATTTCCTGAACATCAAAAGCCATTTGTTGTAATGAGGATAAATTAAATGTACCTGTCACTAGCTGCCTTCACTAATACTGGAGCCAACCATATAAATGGTAAATTCAGATGCTTACAGATTCCTGACTGAAAAGGTGAAAACAAAATACAAGCACGTCTGATTCCCAAGTATCTTGTTTCAACTACACTTGACTGCAGGTGTTGAATGTCCTATCAATAACCATTTAAGTTGAAGACATAATGTAATTGCCATAAATGCAAACCAGTTAGTGTTATGTACTATTTCCTGGCAGTTGTGTTCCATAGAAACAAATATGCTCCCTAACTGTCATAGTCTCATAGCCTGAGTTTTAACAGCAATTGTGTTTTCCCATAAAGTGAAAATATTGCAAAATTAAGCATTTACCCAGTCAGGGATCAGAGTTACCTGCTAGACTTCTGTGACAGTCTCCCAGGGTGAAATAGAACACCCTAACACAATGAGTAATACAAAAGGTAAAGAAGCATTTCCTTAGTAGTGAAGTGTGAGCTGATAAAATGCAACTAGGATTTCATAGTGTAAGATATGTCTGCATGCAGAACGCCAAACAGATCTGTAATCAGTGGTATCTGTGAAACACAGCAGAGACTGCACCACTTGCTACTCAGTCATCAGTGTTCCTCATTTGGAAGCACTGTGAGATAGTGGAAATGCAGAAATAAGAACAAAGCAACATTCAATAGCTGTAAGTATAAAAAAAAAAAAAAAAAGAAAGAATATTTCTTTATTTCATTGGTGAGGATTTCTGTAACAGAACAGATTTCTTTTTCCTACAAGTACTTACTGTGCAAATGCAATAGCTGTGGCAAAAGCCTTTCATGTTACTGGAAGCACTGTTGCCAGCAGATGCTAAAAGGGAATTACTACCTAAAAGATAACATTGGCAGAAATTTCACCATCTGTAAACTACATGCTCCTAAGCCAAATTCAAACACTTTATATTGCACAGTAATGACCTGAATTAAAAGGACGAAGTTTACCCAGGAAAAAACCTGAAGTCTCAAACTAAACACATTACAGGACAGGTCACTAACATTCATCTTCTAAATAAATGTCTGTGTGGCAGAGTGAGGTGTCTGAACAGACACTTCAATTAACTAACCTCGTCTGCCAGTTTTTTAACTGCAGTAGTCACCCAGTTTTTCTCAGGGTATTTGAGTTTGACAGGCCCTTGTTCTTGGGAGGACAAAATCTAGCAAATTCTTTATCTTTCTTCCCTTATTTTCTTCTTTTCTTCCATTTTTTTGTCATCAAAAACTGTCCTGTGCAATATCCATACTTGCTGTTATATCTGCTCTACATCTTTCTTAACCAAAGCAAGGATGGACAAAGGGGCAGCAGTGACTGAAGTTAATATTTTGCCTCTTGGGACAAATTTCCATTTTGGAGCTGTTCCTTGACACTGACTTGTCAGATTGCTGCAATATATCAAGCCCTTCTCCAATTGTGCTTGAAAATGCAGTTTAATCTTTTATTTCTTGGCACTTCATGATGCTGATGGCCAAATATTTCTGTTGTAGCCAAGCTGACAAAAGTAGCAGACACATATATACTTCTTGCCTTAAAATAAAGCAGAAAAAGTAGTTAGTATCTTCCAGTCTAATCTTCAGAAGTCACAGCAGAAACTGAGGAAAATGGCAGTATATGCTGTGAAAAAAAGTATCTGAGATTATCAATGTCTCTCTAATAAAAAGAAAATGCATTTTTCCTTGTTTCTATAAATAATGACAAACTGCATGTTTCTAGGCCATACCCTACAGAGGAAGAGGAGTATATAGGGAAATACATAACAGAAAAATTGCTTTTTCTTTATATTGGAAACTTCTTTCATTTAAGACATGTATCTTCTATATTCTACTTACCAGAAAGAAAATATTTTAGAAGTATGTTCTGGTAACTTCCTTGAACATATTTTTAATAAGCAGTGATTAAGAAAGCTTCTTCCCCTTATTATCCTCTATATTATATTCCTGGTATATGGAGTTTTGCATGTGTTTACCAGTCTAATGGAAAATTGCCTATTTTAAGATTTTCTTGGAAGGCTTAATAAATACTAGATGGGTTCATATCAGCTGGATTTGTGTTTACAAAACAGTTCAAACATATTTAATAGGTTCATCCCTGTTGATACAAGGTTGAGAATGTTCCCATCCTGAGTTATCACTTTATCTTATCATCCTTAGTGAACAGTGTAGGGCCTCTCAGAGCCCCATTCAGGGTGTGGTGGTCATCTCTGCAGCTTTTCTAAGACAGTTCTGCTATAATATGCAAAAGTCTTCCATGAAAATATTTAGGTCATAAACTATAAATTTCAGTCACTGATAGAGACTGAAAGATGGGAAACAAACTTCTTTTTAGTAGGGTAGAGATGTTAAATTCAAAGAGGGCTAATGCAGATGAGAAGATTTTAACAGTGAGGGTGGTGAAACACTGGAACAGGCCAGCCAGAGAGATGTTAG